CAACCACTTGGGGCAACCTGTTGAAGTGTATGAAGATCTTCAAGGTGAAGAAGTTTTCTTCTTATATTTGAATAGTTTTTTTGTTTGTTCGTTTGTTTTTGTATTTCAGTTTGTGCTTGTTGTCCATTGCCTTTTCCCTGGGCACCACTGAGAGCAGCCAGGCTTCTTTACTCCCTCCTTCAGGTATTTTTACACATTGATAAGATCCCCCTGAGCCTTTTCTTCTCAAGACTAAGCAAATATCATAGGTGGGTTAATCCCTTATCATCTTTGTGGCCCATTCCTGAAGTCACTCAAGTATGTCCTTGTCTTGTACTTTCTTATACTGGCTTAGGTGCTTAATGTTATGCATTCTCCTAACCTTTGGAACCTTTGCAACTAAGTGTGTCTGTTGATAAAAATATGTATTCTTGAGGGTACAATTTGATTCTATTTCTATGCTATTTCTATTTCTCTGTGTGTTTCCTTTTCAAAGAATGAAAAGCTTTCCCTCCTTCTTTTGACATATGACTATAAAAGGAAAAAAGTAGACAAATAGCAGACATCTAGAAAAAGTAGACATATTTCTTAAAATATATTTTTTCCACAAATTAAAATTCTCACCCTGGTCTTGCACTTGCACAGACAAAAGTTTCCATGTTTTAAGACAGTAAGTGTTCTGTCTATCCTGCTGCAAGGCAGAACTGGGCTAGGGTTCTAAGTTACATCTGGTTAAATCTTTGAAAGTTTTGCAAGAATACTTTCCAAAAGGAGAATAAAGTTATTAAAACATAATGTAGCACTACAGTCCCTAAACTTTCCAGACAAGTCAATAATTTTAATAACAGGTTATTTTGTAGATACCATTTTCCAGCCTTCTAAGTGTACTTTTATCACATTTAAAAAGTGTTTATAGACTAGAAAACAATTTTCTTTGAGTAGATTTGCTAGTCTAACAGATTTCACAAATAAGCTTTCTCAACCTCCTGATGATTGCATTTCAGTTTCCTAATTGACCTTTTACATTATTTACAAAGCACTTAGGTTCTGTGTGTATTAGTTCTTCTGGCTTGCAGTAGAACGTATAATTACTCAGCATGTTTACCAATGCTGCAGAGTTCTTTCAAAAACATCGGATACGTATTTCAAATGGTGTGAACCAAAAGAAACATGATCATGTTCTAGAATTTATTCCAGTTCATCAAAGTCCTCATTCAAGGCTGTCTGCAAAGCAGCTAGAGTACTGAGAGACTGCACTGATAGGCAGTGCAGAAATCTCTAAAATGATTGTCAAAGGTAAGACTTTGGAAATGTTAATTTTGCTAATTGGCCTAATCTATGTTATTTCCTTTCCCCAGGAGTTGTCATAGTAACTTAAAAAAAAAAGTTTCATTTTTTGCCCATGAGAAAGGATGGAACTGTTATTCTTTAGCAAATTAGCAAATAAGAGCCCCTGCTTTACTTATCTGTGATTAAACTCTGTATTCACAGCTATTTTGAAGTTCCCTAAAGCGTATTCACAAGCAGTAGGCCCTCTTTGACCTATGCAAGAACACTGCTTCCCGCAATTATTTGTGGCTGAAAGACTTGCAATTCGCCTGTCTTGATTTTCCCATCTTGTTGATGCAACTGCAGGGGGAAGTGGAGGGGAGGGGAGAAAGACAGAGATGGAGATATATAATAGCACAGGGCCTCACCCTGTGTCTGAGGCTACGTGTCCTGCCCTTGCCTGCAGCAGGCGTAGGCAATGCCTGCAGAAAGCCGTGGTTGCAAAAGCACATCCTTGCTTTTACCACATCCTTTTTTTTCACGTCACAGAACTTTTCTATGTCACAAAGAGAGAGCTGTAGCAAGACACTTTGGTGCGTTTGGTGCCTGGAGCACTTCTCCAAACCCATCTCTGCAGCACTTTGCTAATTTTCCCCCTTTGACACGCAGCTTTGAGCTGTATTTCCCCTGGTTGCTTGCTCAACCTCCCCCTGCACCCCTGTGTTCATGCCATCAGGCAACAAACCCCAGCCATAACCGCCCCTGGTTGCAGTCCCCTCAAAGCAGGACTTCGGCCCTGCCTTTTTCCTGGTTTGGAAGTTGCAGTTCCTGGGGTCACTGATCACTGATCCAGCTTCTCAACCCAGGGAAGTTAACAGGAACTCAAGCACTGACTGCAATGATTTGAGCCATGTAATTTTTTATTTATGATGTCAAAAGTGATGTGTTGCATTGTCAATCTGTCAACTACATTTTCTCCCCACAGGTATTTAGCAAGAACCACAGCTGTAGCTTTGACAAGGGGCAAAACATTTAATATTTTCTTAAAAAGAGTAAGACAAGCGCTCAATTAAACTTGCTAAGACATTAGAGAGCATGGCCCTTCTAGCACATAAATACAGCTCTAGAGCCATTACCTTCTTTCCAGAGGAACTGTTGCATTGGACACGGAAGTTCTAACTATTCATTTTCAATAAACCTTCCCATAATAAGGACACTCCTGTCACTTGAGAGAGAATAAAAGAGTAATTCAGTGCCAGCCTGTCCAACTTAATTCATTTGCCTATGCTAAGTTATAAGTTCCTGTATGAGTAGAAGTAATCTTCTACCTTGGTTGATAAGCTATCAGATAACAACCCTTTTATTAATGACCAGTGCTCTAATGAACTGACATTGACCTGTCAGAGGGCAACTGTTTTTATAAACCTCTCTGCAACATCTCACTTTCCCATTTTGCATGTTGTTCTTTATATGGAAGGTTGTTTGAAAATTAAAGTCTTTTTTTTTTTTAAACTGGGAGGCAGAGATACTGCCAGTAGAAAGGCCTGATCAAAACCCTGTTAGTAGTTATTTGGTGCAACTAGTTTCCAGCTGCTTCAAGATATGTGAAACACAGAACATATTAATAAAAATAATAGAGTTTTTCACCCAGGATTTTGCAGTCCTATCAAACCTTTTTTTGTAAATAAAATAAAATAAAATATGCTGGCGAAATGCAGGTTGATTCAACTAAGACTATGCCAAGGAATTAGATATAAAACATGAAATTGCAGTAGAAGCGGTTTTAAAAAATCAATAAAGGCCACATTGTTATACTAAGTTGTATATGTACTTAGCACTGAGTATGTTAACTCATTTACTGATTACAGCCTGTAATCATGAAAACCCCCACACCTATAGTAGTCACATGCAATAGCAATTTAAAGGAAACAACAATGAAAATCACCTACCTCCTGTTTCTCTGTAGCATTTATAAGGCTTGGGCAATTACTGCTTTTTTCACTTACTTGCTGCCTAAAATTAGGGTAATTGAAACCACATGAGGATTCAGATTCAGCTTTCTCAGTTAGTAGCCCTACTTTCTCTGCCATATTCTATGGTATGATGCATTTTCAATTGCTTGCACCTAGGGAAAACAGGTAAATTTTTGTGCACTCTTTAAAGAAAAAGAATTCATAGGAAAACAGAGACTGTTTCATGTTGAAATGTTGGTAGGAGTAAGAATGTAGGTATCCTGATTTTTCTATTTAATTGTAAGATTTTTTATTTATTTTATTTTTTATTTATTTTAAAAGAAGGAAAGTAAATGTGTTCATGAATGTTTACATAAGACTGACTTCATGCAACAGAAGGTGTATGTGCCTTTTTTTTGTTTTTAGTCAAAGCATTTTCTTCTTTTCTGACTTGATATGTGGTTGGTTTCAGTTAGCTTTGATGCAGAAAATGAGTTACAAATGATTTCAGTCTGGATTTTCCTGGTCAGTTGCTCCAAATGAAGAACACTTTAGCCCATCCTAGATAAGAAGACAAAAATAGGCCTTGGTATGCTGTAAGTCACTGTGACTTTCAACCCTGCCTGGACCTTTCTGAAAAATAGTTTTTGATGCCTGAGTTCTGGCTTTAGGTTTTAACTAGAATCTACTTTTTATATATATGTATATATATATATAATATGAATTATTTTAGGCAACAATCTTAGTGTTATTTAGATCTAACTTTCAGAGCATCTAGGTTTGAGGTTCAGTAACATTGCTTCAGAAACAAGTGAGGGAAGTAGCAGCAAGCTTGCTAGCAACATTTGTAGATTTGGAGGTAATCCTGAAATCTGTGCTTATGCCTACTGCTAATATACTCTTGTGCATTTGGTTTAGGATATAGTAGTTCTCATATAGGAACTAGATTTGAAGAGATAAAATTTGAGTAATATGTGGATAGATAGGAACAAGCTTCAGAAGCACTGAGAGTTCTGTTTAGAAAGTAGGTCTGTTTTGACACTGCTTTGTAACATGTATGCATTTACATTTGTGCAAAATAGATGCAGAATATTTTCCTAATTGGCAGTGTTTTGGACAGCTGTTATTAACTGCAGTGAGCACTGCAAAATAGAGAAGTTGGTCTGGGAAATCTGATACTTTCTTACAAAACTTGCTTCTTTAAATGTATAATTAACTTTCTTATCTGAATTTCAACCAAAAATAACAAGAAATGTAAAAACAATTAGGAATTATTAACCTTAAAGAAATCTTTCTCATTATCTCTGTTTGCAGTTTTTCACTTGTTGCTTAATTAAAGTATCAGATTTCCCCAAATTATTTTCTTGATCTATTACTTGAATTCTACTGGAAAATGCTTTGCCTTCCTGTGTATTAAAACCTTTATCTTAACATACAGATACAGTTGTACATATTGTATTGGCTGCACATAATTTAATAGGTAATGTAATTTTAGAGGAAAATCTTGTTCATCATCAAATGGCCTTTTTTTTAAAAAAAAAAAAAAAGGCAAAAACAAATCCAAAAAAAAAAAGAGTTGCTGAATGTTGCTAAAGTCAGCAGTTGAAATGTTGATGTATTCCTTTGATTTTTTTGGATATTCTTTGATCCTCTGTGTAGTAGCACAGAAGTGGCACGTGCCCTGAGAAATTGTAGTAGAGAAGTGTGGAATTCAAAGCGAGGTTGCTAATTGCACTGGGATAACAGAAGTCTACCTGTAACTTAAGCTGCTCTACCCCACCTTACTCCAAGAAGCCAAGTATGTCAGCAGACAGAAGAGCTGTGCAAGAAAAGCAACTTCTGAGCCCTGCTGGTGACAAGCAGCAGAGACTGTTGTCACCCAGGAGAAGAAATGACACTCGGAATGTGTCTCAGTCTCGCTCCGAGAAGAACCTCCAAGCGGCAATTTGTCTGCTGCTGGTGGAGCTGTGTGAGAGGTTCACGTTCTTTGGCATTGTCTGCAACATGATCCTCTTCTGCACTGTCAAACTTGGCTATCGCAACTACCAGGCAGCGATCGTCAACATGTGCTTTGTAGGCACCTCCATGCTAACCCCGGTGCTGGTCGGCTGGCTCGCTGAGTGTCTCGTGGGGAGGATCAAGCTCGTGTACGTCTGCCTGTTTCTGCACTTCCTAGGTAGGTGACATCCTTGTGGCTATTTCACGTACAGTTATGTTCTAATAATTCTGCTGTGGAAATGCATTACTAAACATTTATTGGAAATCTGACCATTTTCCTAGCTTTGCAGGCAACTTGTCCACTAGCTTATTGCTTAATTTCTCTTGTGTAAAATGTATTACTATGTATTTGCCTATGTACTTTTGTAAAGTGCTGCTTTGACCAAAACTTAAGGTACTCTTGCATGCTACAACTTATGAATATTTAGTGCCCAAAATATTCTCCCACTAAGTGGCTTGGTGATACAGAAGACAGATTTTAGCTCCTTCTTTAAGCGAATCCCTTTAACAAACATCTGAAGTGATTAGTGTTTGAGGGAAATGTGAGATTCTTGGCTTTATTTTTTTTTTTTTTTTTGAGATAATTTGGAAACTGTTTCCCAGCTGTTGCTAGTAAGAGTTTATTATATGTAAAGGTATGTGACTTATACTTGGGCAAGTGGGAAAAATGTAGCTAAATACATATTGTTATAAACTTTTTTTTTTGCCTTAAGCACAGAAGCTATGTCCTAATTCTCAGAGCCTGCTTCCTGTTAGCACATTCTGACACTTTCACCACCTGTTATTCTGGAGATCTGCTATGTGTAAGCACTTCTCAGGCTACATATGGCTGTGGTGCAATAATTAGTGAATTTCTCAGGTGGGGATTACTTTTTCCACTTAAATTGAGCCAACAGAACTATTTTTTTATTACTATTATTTGCAGCACCATTTGAGCTGAGCATAAGCAAGTCTGCTTTCTGCAGTTGCCATGCAGATTGTTAATTGGATGTGTAACAATGTAAGGAAAAAATAGTCATGCATGAAGTCTTCTTTAGCTTTCCAAATATTCTTGAAATTACTGCAAAACATCCTGGAAAGTAAGTCCTGTGTTCGGGAGAGTGTTCATGGACTTCTTAGGGATCTCTTTCTGCCATTTGGCCTTTCAATGCAGATTGTGACCCAGGTGACACAAACTCAATTTTATGTGTTTGGATGTTGGGTTTAAGGAGTCACTAAATACTTGCTCACTTTACCAGATCAAATAGCTAGGCCTCGCCTTGATAACTACTGGCAGTCTCACAAAACAATTGCCAAAGAGGAATGTAGATAACGTTGGAATCATGGCTGAACACTGCTTTTGTACCCAGCATTGTATTACCTCTTCCGTGAATACAATACAAAAGGATTTTCTTTGAGGGAAAGACAATTAAGCATTCTTGATCTGTTAGGGCCTTAGGCGCAATCATAACCTTAGTGTCCCTGGGTGCATGGTGAGCTATTGCTCTCTAGATATGGAAAATTGGGAAGGGACAGTGAAAGCAGTGAGCCCCAGCTGACTGAAGGACCTGAATACTTCCAAGGGTTTTGAAACAAAATTTCACTTTCTGAGAAGCAGTTGCTGGTCTACCTATAGCAACATTCAAAAAGTTTCTAACTGTTTGCGCTCAGCCATGTTCTGGATCTTTGATTCCTTTGTCAGTCATTTCAATATAGCTGCTTTAAAATAATTATTTTTTAAAAAATCAAATCCTAGGATGGATTTTCTGGCTATTTTTTCTTTCAATTATGTTGATATCAGAGTTTTGATCTAAATTATTCAGTGGTCCCATTCTAAACCATTTCAAATGGCAATTTTCTTCTCCATTTCAGGCACAGTCCTACTACCTGTTGTGTCATTCCCTTTTGAAGATATTTACATTGACAGGAGGCATATTCTTCATACGCTGACCAAAAAGGAGCAGAAAATAGTATTTTACTTTGCACTATTAACAGCTAGCTTGGGAATTGGAGGCATAAGAGCCATAGTTTGTCCACTGAGTGCATACAACCTGGAGGACTGTGGATTAAAGGAACTTCTTTCTTTCTTCAACTGGTTAGTAAGTTTGTATCAGCTAATTATTTGCTGGGGATCATATAACATTGTCTTAAATATCACTGTTAATTTACAAGGCAGATTCCACAGATAGTGTGTTTCTCATTTTAACTGTAACTTTCAGACTTTTAGAAGCTTAAGAACTGCTTTCTCTAAAAGCTTTTCCTATTTTTTCTCTTTGCTATTGTGATGAATAGGTGATTAAACTCTGTGGGCCTCTAGCAGAAATCTTCAATCAGAATTATCATCAACCGATCTCCACAAATGCTTGTAGAACAAATAATCTAGTTGCTGTTAGAACAACATATTCCAATTGGTTTATTACCTTTAGCAAAGATATGCCTTGAGGATATTTTGGTTTTGCTCCTTAAAGGTGGAAAAAATCAATAAGGTATTAGAGTTAACATCAGAACAGAGTTTTAGAAATCACAGGTGGAAGTGCCTGCTAGTTTGCTAGAACTAGGGTTTACTAGTGGTCTCTAACTGCTCATCTTAAAGGCAAGAATCTTCTAGATTGTTTCAGTTCTATGAGGGTCTGCTGGTGCCTCAGAAAAAACACTTGGCATTTGTGTTTCAGTTTAAATATTTACATATTTTCCTGGAAAATATTTGTGGGGAACATTTGCAGGGAGGGGAAGTCCCCTAAATTTCACATAATTTTCACTTCTTCAGTGTTTCAAGGGGTGACTTTGGTTGTATATTTGCCTTTCTTCACTTCAACATTTCTGGTTAAACTCTGCATAATACTGAGGATTGCAGAAATATCAGTGGAAACCCCCAGATCGCTGCTTCAAGGAAAGGTGGGACAGACCCTAAACTTCCCCATCCTCCTCATCTCCTTACCCAGACACACCTAAGTGATAGTTATTAAAATCAAAACTGAGCATATTTGCATACTGACAAAGCAGTGCTGAAGAATCAGTGAAGATCTTAGTGAATCAGATCTCTGTCCCTTTGGGAAAGGCTTTCCTAGCTATTATTTTTTACCTCCAATTATGTTAATATCAGAGTTTTGAATTAAATCCAAACTTCAGTGAATAAGTCAGCTTTACGAAAGGTGGATAGAACTGTTTAGTTCCTTAGAGCAGATTCTGTATCCTTGACCTGACCATAAGAGAGAAGAAAAAATCCTTCCTTTTCATTCTATTCTGAGTTCTAATCCTTAATTAGCAACATCATTTTGATTAAATAAGACTCTGGGGGATTAAGACTGGAGAGCAATCAGTTGTTCTGAAATATAGCTCTAGAGAATTTATTGTACTGTGGTCTTAGCCATTCAGAATTGTGTTTAATCAAAGTGACATTTCTCAGTGTTGATTACAAAGGAGACATAATACGAACGAAATAGTTCCTTGAGGGAATTCAGATGGGTCAGTTCTTATGGCTTTGGAAGTACCAAGAAAGGCACATGTGCAATTAAATATATATATATATTTCTGCAGTGGCATGCAAGGAGGGACTTTCTGATTGCAATCTTAAGACTTTAAAATGGCATTTCATTTTTAGCATTATTAATCTTGTTACAACTTGTGAAAACATAATCATTTTCTCCTGGTAGGTTTTTTGTCACAGGAATTAATTTCAAAATAATAAAATAGATGGTGAAATATTCTTGATGTATAACAGTCTGCATTCTTAGCCAAGTTCTATGCAAATAATCAGACTCACTGGGTGATGTTTAAAAATTTGCCAGATATCGCCTCATAGCTGTCTGATGTCTAATTCAACCCATGAAGAAGCCTTATTTGTATATCTCGGACCATATTCCAATATCTACCATGATCATGACTGACCATTCAGATAAAGAAAATATTTCAATGCTAAGTGAAAAAGTCAATTGGATTGTGCTAGCCTAAGTTTTCCAAAGGATGTGCTTAATGGAGACTAAGGCTACAGGCCAGCAGGTTTTGCAGCTTGAGAAGTAAATTCTGTCTTAAGGAGTAGAGGATAAGAGCACCTCAAGGTGCTCCATATCTTCAAGGCATATCTTTGTTAAACGGTGGAATCCTGACTTAGATTTCTTACACTTCACTTTTTTCTCCGTCTTTCTCTTCTTATTTTTTTCTTTAATACCTTGTCTTTGCAAAGAATCAGAGCTGAACATTGTGTATGTGTGCGTATATACATCTATATAGTGTTCGTATATACATCTATATAGTGTTGAGATTGGCCAATTATTTACCCAGTGTATCTGAGTTTGAGCATGGTTCAAATAGAACTTGAATTGTCAGTTACATGTGCCAAAAAAAAAAAAAGGCAGTAGATAACTTCTCACAAAATAAGAAATCTAGTGAGTCTTCAAAATTAATGGGAAAAAAAGTGACAAAAGATCAACTTTAGAATATTTTTAAGGTTTTTGTTTGGAACACACATCCAGGAGGTTCATTTTGCATTTTGATGCAGAGTTGATGCTATGTAAGCACCAATATTTTTCAATGAGAGGTGATCTACTTTCTACTTTGTTAAAAGTGATAACAAATCCTTATAAAATATCATACTAAGACTACTGAATTTTTCTAGGTCACAAAAAGCATTTCAGTTTCTAGTGGGGCTGTGTTCCTAAAATGAACCTCCCAACTGTCTGTACTTGGATGTCCCTGGAGAGAGACCTCAAAGTGCATAACTGGGGGCTCCTTCCAGAATATCTAAACTCTAAAATTAATGACAGATGCATTTGATACACTCAGCCATAAATGGTCTTGAGTCACAAACCACTAGCAGCCTATAGTACCAGATTAGAGCTAGGGTGAAGTAAAATCCTAAGTGTATATAATGTGAACAGTAGGTCTTCATTGCAAGCAATGTTGTTCTACAGATCTCTTGCACTGCTCTAGTTGCTAAAATAGATGTAACACCTGAAAGCTTTCCAGAGTTTCAAAACAAAAACAACAATAAACAAACAAAAAACAGAAGTTCTTGAGAGAGTATGCCATTTTACCAAAAGCCCTCCACAGGGCAAGATTTCTCAGGTTCAAGATGAAAGTCTATTCCTTAGTGATTACACCACCTGCCCAGTATGGCCATGCAGCCAAATTGAGGTACAAGGTTCAGTTCTCTAGTCTAAACGCCTACATTATGCAAAACTGTACAGGAATTTTTGCCCGAAGTATATTGCCTGAACACTGGAATGGCTCATTGTCTATCTGCAATGGGCTTTTTAATCTCTATTATTTAGACTGTATTAAAATAATTTTTAGGTTGCATAAATACAACTGTTAATGCATTGGACAAAAAGTCTATTTAGTTGGAAAGTGGGACATTGTGGTTTATTGTTTCATTGAGCATTATTTCTATAAATAGCCTTTAGGATAGGAATTAGGTTAAAATATTTAGTTTGATTTCACACCAAAGGAAATAATTGACAGGTTGTTATACACATTAAGTTATTAATGCTGCGTAAACAAAACATTCCCTTTGATAACAGCTAAATGGTCTTAGTTACCTCATATTGTTAAGGTTGAGCTCTCAGTCTACTGCATTCATATGCTACACACTTGAGTATAGCTTGATATAGCCCTATAGATCTTGTCTAGGTTTTAGTGATTAGCTAAATTGGTTTTATGTGATTAATCACACTGTAAGAGATGATTATACTTTCCAGATTAGAACTTGGAATGTGAAGAGAGGCTAAATACTGACCAAGTTTTGTATCCTTCAAAATCTTCCACTTCTCACTTACCTTCACTAAAGCAGTGCAGCTGGTGCCCAAATACCAGGAAGGAGCTGGGAACTGTGAAGTTGAACATGATACTATGTTTGATATATTGAAAACATTCAGCTCTGCTTTGCTGGGATATTTTAGATGCTTTACTTCAAATATTTCAATATTAAATATCTGTGCTGTGTCAGAGCCAGCAAGATGTGTTCCTGTTTGTGCAGGTTCTGATGTGGTACATCCAATATGAAATGAGCAGCTCCCTGGATTCTGATGTGTGCACTGAGATTAGTTTATCTTTTCTAGTCCATAGGGATTGCTGGAACATGTTGGATAATTTTCCTAATTTCTGCAAGAGGACAGGAGCTTTATATCATAGCCTTAAAATAGTACACATTTGCTGTACAATGGTAGAGATATTTTATTATTATGAGCTCTCACTACCGAAAACCCAAAGCATTCTTCTGTGCTCAAGAGTTTTCTTTGGAGGCTCCTACTTCTGGTAAAACAGAGTCATAGTCCTAAGGAGTTTCAGGTCTTTTAGGTAGCTCAGGCCCATTTTGTAGGAAATTTAGAAAAGAGGGTCTGAAACTTCTAACTTGGAACAATTCCTAATCACTCAAAATTATCTATTCAACTTATAGTTGATCCAGATGTGTAACAGTTGGTTTTTTTTTTTTCTTTTTTAAGAAGACTTAGTAGAACAGGGGTCAACATAAATACATATAAAATTCCTCCAACTCTACCACTGTCCTGTAATGGCATCGTTAGTGCCCAAAGGTGGTTTTCTGTGGCAGGGAAAGTCTCTGACTCTTGGATGGTTGTCATCCCTTGGAAACATAAATGATTTAAAGGAAATAGTGAGTGACGTTGAAGGTTCAGACGTGATTTGGTGTGACTTCAAAGCAATGCATGAAGGCAGAGAACCCCTGCAGATTGCTGTGTGTAGTTTGCTAGCTCCCTGCAAGCTGCTGGGTGGCTCTTGGCAGCACTGAGTTTATCCAAATGGAGTATGTTACTGCTTTTTTCACTCCTTGACCTCCTGTGCTGTGCTAGCCAAGCTGCTTAGCCATGCTCACAAGCCTACTGCTGCCCAGCCTCTCTGGTCTTCCCCTTCTTGGTAAAGCAAGGGATAGTTTAGTTGGTAACACTAACAAAGTTCCTTCCCTTAGAAGGTCCTTGCTTCTGGCATGACTTTACTGTTTTGGCTTGAGCTAGGTATGATGTAAAAAGCAACAGCAGAACAGTCAGAAGCAGTAAGGAAATGATTTCAAGCCTGTAACTTGTCCTATGATCAGCACTTTCTTGAAGTTGCAACAGGCCAGCTAGCAGTCACTTTAAATGGAGGAAACAGGGTTGGTGAAGAGTCCTTGGTGTCGAGAGACTTGCAGTTTCCCCCTTAAGGTTGGCAGCTCAAAATATCTTTCTCTGATTGTTAATACAGGGGACTGTCATGGAAGACTGATATCTAGCTCCTTCCCTTCCAGATGATTTGTGGTTGAGATAACCATCTAGAAAGGTTGAAATATAAAAGAATAAATGGTCTTCTAAAACATGTTAAGACTTTTCTAAATGTTGAAGTCATATATATATTTTTTTTGTGCTAATTGGGAGACATAAGAAACTCAAGTCCAATACCATACATGAGAAAGGAATGACACAAGACCGGAAGGCTTTCTTGCTTCCTCTAGCAGTGTATGTTGAGGTATATGTATATTTATCAATGTATATTTCAGCATGAAAATTAGGTTTTTTCCAAAGGTGTTTACACCTATTGTAGTCACAGTATCCTACAATATCTAGTATCTTACACATCTAAACTATGATATCTTGAGATAGCATTCTTAAATGAATGATAGTTCTTGTTCATTCAAAATAAAATGGTTGACTTGATTAAACAAGTTTCAAATTGTTTTTAAACTTACGAATTTTAACATAAAACTTCAAACTCTAAGCAGGCAACTTTTGGAAGTGAGATTGAAAGTTGAAGCAAAGATTGGTGAGTCTCTGGTTTGCATCATGTAAGAGATTCAAATGAATTCTCATACTGATTCCTGAACTGCTACTCCAGCAAGACAGGTCCTCCCTACATTGAGATGCTCACAAAACATTTACTGAATCTGTTCTGGAGCCTCAACTGAACCTCCTGTTTTTCGAGGCTTGTATTTTAAAGAAAATATGAGCCAAAGCCCTCCTGAAGAGGAAAGCAAATGGTCTGGAGAACAGTGTGTGGGGAACACCTCAGAATGTAAAATGAGTTAGATGGATTTAGCTAAAATGCTTATAAATAGGATAGTAAAACTGAACAGTCATAGGCAGAGAGATGTAGACTATGCAGTAGGAGAATAAGCAGTAACATTTTTGTTTCACTTTGTCATGATAGCCCATGCTGTTAGCTAACTTCTTCTAGGAAAAAGTGGATCTTAGAGGTACTAATTAGTAAGTACTAATGTGTAAGGAGACATATTCCAATAAAAACAACATGGAGACAGTATAATCCTAATTGTGTGTGTGATTTGCTAGGATAACATAGCACACTATTTTTTTCATCCTACTGGGAACATGAATTGTTTTGATGTTTTTGTTTTGCTTGTTATTATCCTTATAATTCCTTTATGCATATCTAATGTGTTATTATCAAGGGTTTCACACTGTGCTAGGCCTACCACTAGTGATACATCAGCTGCTTCCAAGAGCATGCGAATTTCACTTTAATGTCTCCTGTGCATAGGAAGGACTCAGCACTTATTTGGCAAACACTTCTGTTGCTATAAGTGGTCTAATAGCAGATTACATTTGTGAACCCCCTTCTCAAGACATATCCAGAGCCAACAGAAATTTCATCTAAGCCAACAGGCCATACAGCTACCGGAAATGTCATCGCTTCCAATAAATCTAATCCTAACAGCCTTTAAAAAAGGGATGGTGGCAGTTAGTTTCGTTATGTGATTTGATTACAACATGCAAAACTTATGCTTTCACATATTAAATGTGTATATTATAAATGTTGGAGTTTTAATTGCTCCAATTCACAATATATTCGGGTAATATATTGATGATTCGTTCAGCTCTACTGCCTTAGTGGAACTACTTTAATCTTATACCTCTTGGAGCTTAGACACCCAAGCAAAATTTGATGTTAATTGCTGTGTCAATGTGTGCATGATACTGCTACTGACCATGCTTTTAAATTCATAATGTTTTAAATTATTTCTCTTGTAAAGAATTCATATTATTCAACTTCTTCACTGTTCTCTCTCTTGTCTATTTGTATTAGGTTTTATTGGTTGGTTAACTTAAATTCAGCGGTTGTCTTTGTCAGCATTTCTTATATTCAGCAATCAGTGGCCAGGAACCTTGGTTTTCTTATCCCATTTGTATCTGTGCTAATGGCTATGATCACAATTCACATGGTGTGTGGTGAAATGATTTACAAACCTAAAACAGGTAAGAAGCAATGACTTCTCTAGGAAATGTCTTTAAAGAGTATTTTCATGAGAGAGATCACCTTGCACCTTTAAACAAGTTGTTTTTTTTGTTGTGTGTTTTTTTTTTTTTTTTTTTTTTTTTTTTTTTTCCCACAACGCAACCCTTGTGTTGTGATGGTACTTGAGGGTTTAGCTCTACAGGGCATCTGCACAAAACAGTTTGTGGAGCCAGACCTGTATATTCCGAATAGGCTAAAAAAAGAAGGCTTACAAATATTTTCTCTCATCTTCCTCAGCCAAAGCATTTACCTATGTAGAAAAATGTACCATATGTATGCTTGCTGGGGGTATTTATTATAGCACATTTGGTTCAACCTGATGTAAATCCAATGCGTTTACATCAATTGAAGCCAAGTTTGGACCTATGCTAAGTCACCAAGCACGTTTGTGTTTTCTCCTTTATGTGCTCCAGGGCTTGGCCTGAGCTTACCAACCAATGTGTTTAGTAAGAAAGGCAGGAATTGAAGCTAACTGCCAGTATAGATAAGCTAGTAAAAAGATGTTCTATAATATCCTTTATCTTGCAGAATGTTTGCAGCATATTTTTAGTTTGGAGCACTTGCCAATAACCACATCAAGCATTTATACATAGCTGAAAATAATTAGAAACTCTGAATAGCTCTAAATAGCATTTGGCTGTGTGGACTACGGCGATATTTTAAAACAGAAGTTCTTAACGCTTCTGGAAACTCATCAGTTAGTACTTTCCTTAGCCCTTCAAAATCTTTTGATGGCGATTACCTCTCTCAGTTGAGCAAGCACAGAAACGTAGGTTGAACCTAGCTGATCTGCATAAGGCTCTAAGTGCCTAAACCTTACAATTTTTTTCAGTAGTCTTCAGAAGTCGAAAGCAATTTTAAATTGTCATAATAATTTTACTGTAAATGTAACTTGAGCAAAAATATATTAGTACTAGGGAAGTGAATGCCTAAGCCAGATGCCTAGGGAATATCATAGTGATAAAATAAAAACAAATGGGACCAAAGAAATAAAATGCTTCCATGCTTTACCAAAAAGTTATATTAATGTCTGATCAAGGTCTGCAAAGTCAGGATAAGACTGACCAACTCTTTATATGGAGAAAGGTGGTTGACTGGCTCAGGGAAGCTCACTACAAATTTTAAGAACCCCCAAATATTCCCCTGTATTTATCCCTGAGCTGTACTGTTTCAAATGGGCTGAATGAGTAGTAATGTATTGTCTAACTAGTTTATGTAAACTGAGATATATAATCAGCATGTTTATATGAATATTGACCATTCCACAACAATAGCAAAATATCTTTTTGACTGTTTTCTGAGTGCTGTTTGATAATCTCTTTAATGTATGTTTTCCAAGTCTTCACAGAATGCAGGTCCCTAGGCTCTGCAAAGTTTTTTCATCTCCTCAGTCAAAATAAATGATAGTGTTGCAGAATGCAGGTCTCGGGGCTCTGCAAAGTTTTTCGTCTCCTCAGTCAAAATAAATGATAGTGTACTTTGTAACTTTAAATGAGATGGCTAATTTGGAAATTCTTCAGAACTGTAATTCAAATCCATAAGTGACCTTAAAGAAATTATTTTTATATATGATACCTTTTTATTTTAACTCTTCAAATGTGGATCATGTATTCAATTATGCTTAGCTGTCAAGCATGGACTTCATTTGCATTTCTTCCCACTGCTATAATTTTGAGGACTGGCAGGTGACCAAAGATGAGGAAAAATGTGTATCTACCATCTAGGGTGCAATGTAGGCTTCTTTATTATAATTAAATAGCATAGATATTCATGATTAGATCAAGGTCAAATAGCAGAACATTGGAGCCAAGGACTGCAGTATAAGAGAAAGGAAAAATTGCTTTCTTAAAGTTGTAGGTATCGATCTGTGTAGACAAATGTTTTCAAGAAAGTGATAAAATTAAAAGTACGACGTATACGATGTTGTTGTATACAATGTGTCCCAATATAAATATTTATGTTTTTTAAATATGTCTCTTGCTAACTGATCAGATTTGCAATCTGAAGAGTTCATAATGACGGAGTCGTGTGGGTTTTGTATATTAGTTTGCTTTTAAAGAAGGCGTTAGGTCTTTATTCTAACTATATATCATCAGAATCATCTTGATATGAATTAGGTCTATGTATTGCCCAAGATGTTTCTAACACTAATTTCAAGCAGATTTTTCTTCTTAGTCTGCTAGAGCTTATGATCTGCTTGGAATTCCATGCTGAGAAACACAAATAAATTATATATTTGCCTGTATTTTTTAGGACAAAATGATGTTTTTATAGGTAATAGATGGATATTATGTTAAAGAGGGCATCATTTGATCCATTCAAAAAGGTACTGAAATGTCAAGTTTATTATTATTATTTTAGTCTTTCTTTTAACGAGGAATAAGCAGTCTGTTCTGCATCTTGCGTTCCAAAGGACAGAATGTGGCCATGGCTGTATTCAAGGCATAGGTCAGACAAATCGGAACACTCCCATATCATCACGTCTAGCTCTTCTGTGGTTTCATCTTGGTTTCATCTTTCCTGAAGAACTGATTTCAACACTGACTGTTTTGAAAACAGCTGCAGAGTAGTAATAGAACTGCTGCTAATTCTTTTCTTGTGAAAGTCCAGCTGCTCTTGCAGGGGGGAAAAAAAAAAAAGTGAGATTATTACTTCTCCGATTTAAAACATGATTACTAGCACCCTCTTTGAGTTGGGTAGTTGAGTTGATACTGACTTGAGTTTTCTACCATTGGAAAATAACTCATATTTTTATGAATGAGAACCTAAGCCTTTTCCACCTTTATCTTTTTTTTTTTTCATCTGATAGTGAGAACTAAGGTAGCAATTCCAAAACACAGCAAGCAGTAGGCAAGCTTTCACACACCAAGAACTGGATTTAAAACTCCCAAATGGGTGTGCTGTGGGAGATGAGGAGTCCCAAGGTAATATTTCTGACTTTCAAATTGAGCCATGAAAATTTTCCAGCATAATAACCCTCTTCTGAGCTTGCTTTCCTTCTCGTTTCAATACTCCCCTGTCTTTCCTGGACTCCAACAGACACAGAGGATTTCATTACTGTCCTGAACTGAACGCTACCCTCATTCCAAAGCAAAAGTGATCAAAATGCAAAAGTAAAGAAGAAGAATACTTTCTCTGCTCAACAACAACAGCAAATGCTCAGAGTATGCTAAATAACTGGTAGCAGAAGGTACTTTTTTCTCTGAAAGTTAGCTGGATTGCTTTTGTAACTATTAATTTGGGTACCAGTTGGCCTCCTGGAAAAAATAGCTTTGAGTAAATCTAGACTGTTATGCCCCCTTTTTGGGGAGGGGAAAAAGAAATAAGATGATCATACAAGGTTGTGGCCTTCCCTTCCAAAGTCTGTGGTTTGTCTTGGCTTCAATTTAATTTAAATTTTGGCAGCAAGTAAAAAAATGTACCAATGCCTAATGTCTCTGTTTGCAGAGAGTTCCCTGCTGACGACTTTTGGGGTAATTGCTAGTGCACTGAAAACATGCTGTGTCCGATATCGCTGCCTTAGTGGAGGTGTGACAAACTGGTTAGATCATGCCAAGGAGAACTATGGTGGTCGGTACAGCGAGACTCAGGTGGAGAGCACAAAATCACTCACCAGGCTCTTTCCACTGTTTGCTTTCCAAATTCTCTACAGAACATGTATCATGCAGGTGAGTAATCAGTTTTTAAATGAAAAATGTGAAAATGATTGTGTTTACTGCTATGTTTTGGGGCATTGTTTTTAATAGCTGCTTTATCAACAGAGCAACACGACTGAATAGTTTTAATTGTGTGAGAATACAGCTTGTCATCTCATCTCAACGAATCAGTAAAATTGGCTTGGTCGATACTCATGAAGGCGCCTACATGACTGTTTGCTACTTGTTTCTCAGAATCCGTACTGATTGAAAAGTCTAGGGAGCCCTGTGCTGCTCGAGTTGATATGGCGTACTTGCTGGGAACTCAAACTCAGCATTCTTTTGAAAAAAATAATAATTTCTCACTTTCTTAAATGGTCACTCACTTATGGAGAGAGGTAGAAAATCTTTCTTTGCTGTTTCATTGCATGTTCCTTCTATTGATTTGTCTGGGTTATGTGGCTTGAGTACCTACACTGGAAATGGGTGGCTTTCCATTCGTGGAGAGAAGCAGCCCTTTTGTAGCCCCTCCATCAGACTTTGCAGTTCTGTCTGCCTCTGAGTTTGTATATGTTATATAAATGCAAATGTGTCAAAAAGCTGCTTAAACTGACATGATTCCTTCAAATTCATTTCTGATTGGATGATCTTGGTTGAGCAGGAGTTTGAGGTAGCTCACCCTTTGGCAACTGCCATAATAGAAAATTATTAGCTAGCTTGGAAATTCATTTTTACATATTGGTTCTTAAACTGATGCAGATTCTGCTTAAAGGAAATTATTACGAATAGGTAACTTAAGCATACTTCTTTATTATCACTCTTTCTTGACATTCTTCTACACTTCCATCTCTCTGGCTCATTTCCCCTCATCCCTTCTTTCTTTTCTCCTCCCCCCCCTCCCCCAAAAAAAAAGGTAGCTGACGGTAAGCATTAATTACCAGATGGAAATGGAAAATGAAAAATCAGGTGCCATTAATCAGAGTTGTAATATTCAGGTATATATCCATAAGAGAAAAGCATTTGTGCTTCTGAAAGGATGACTTCAGCAGAAGCTTTAATATGTCTAATAGTTTTTTCTTTCTTTTTGAAGACTAAGCAATAGATATATATCTATAAACATTGTATAGACAGACACAGAGAGGGGTGTGCAAATACATGCAATTAAAAATACGGTGAAATATAGGTGAGAGCATCTCTATTAAAAATTAGAATTCTTAAGGGCCAAACAGATTTTTGATGAACAGATTTTGATCAATAGTTTTAAATATAGCCTCCAATGAGTAACCTTTGAATTGGGTTTCTAACTGTACTTTAATATTTATTTGGACAACCAAAGAGCAGTAAGATTCTCCCTCAGTTTAGCAACACCACTCATATTGAAGAAACGTGTGGAGTGGTGCAGGAATCAGAGAATTTAAAGATAAAATCATGTACAGAAATAAGGCTTAAGAAATCATTTATATCCAACTCTTTGTGATTTTTCTCAAGTTACCTCTTTTTTGTCCTGTTGGTCTGTAAAATGGCTTATAATTTTCTGTTTCACATAAAATTGCAATACTTAATTCATCAAAGATTCCTCAGTGAAAGTGCCTCAGTGAAAGCTACTGTGATGAGAGCTATTTTATTTGTCTTTTTTAAGTAAATAAATGTAGTAAGCGTTATTTCCTATTTTCTCTTTGGTAGTGGCTCACACAGGAAGAAGAATTATTTGCTTTTGAACTGAGGTGCAGTCTTACAAGTGTGCTTTAATTTCATATCTAGATGACTGTCAGTTGTGGGCTGCTCATCTGATTATTGGTCATCTTTTGCTTTCTATTTCCAGAAGTACGAAGTCCTTTATATACTGCTGAGGCTCTCAGTCCCATTTAAACTGGTTCTGTGTCTAAGCTGGTTTTGACTGTGCCAAATATTCATCCCTTTGAACTTTTAAACCACATACTCACAGGAGTGTCTTTAAAAAAGTTACTCCTGTCTAGAACACATAATAAGAAATTTAAAATAACATTGCATCTTGCTATTCTAAAATGGAAAGGGAATTCTGTTCTATTAAACATTATTGGCAAAAAACTCTAAGAAGTGATTAAGTTATTAGGCAGAAATATTTACTATGTTTACTCATAGCCCTAACTAGGGAGATGAACTAATTTAATGCAGATAAATTTAAAGGAAAATGTTAAATCTTGGATCAAGAGAATGTCATGGTCCAAAAGACTTTTGTATTGAATAGTCATTTCCTTTAGGTCAGCAGGTATTTGGTTTACTGCAGCTTCTTCTATAGGAAAGCAGGAGAAAAAAATGGAGAAGTTTCCAAGTATAGAAAAATGTCATCTATTACATGTAACCAGCATACTAATGAGATAGGTCTTTTTTTCCCACGATGCAGATTCCTTCAGGATATTATCTCCAAACCATGAATTCCAACTTGAACTTCAGTGGGTTTGTCTTGCCAATTGCAGCAATGAATGTGATAAGCATTGTACCACTATTAATTCTTGTTCCTATTTTGGAATGCATTAACTCATGCCTCTTTAGTTCCAAGGGAAGTAGGCATTCTCCGACAATTTACATTGGTAAGTAAAACATCATGTGTTCACATAGTTTTAATATGTATCTGGCTTTGAAAGAGAAACTTATATAGAATCACCTATCATTTATTTAATTATTCTAAATTATAGAGAGTAAGATGAACTTCTTTTGGGATGACTTGCAGAGTTGGATACGTTTCAAAGGAAAGGCAATCTTGAAATAATAGATTAGATGCCAGGAAAAAATGAACAGCATTTGTCTAGGGCATTTATTTAGGACAGAAATTGAGCCTCTTCTGTCCAATAAAAGATATCGAGACAAATGCTCGGACAAATAA